CAGTATTAAAGGTGATTTTACCAATGTTTTTCATAGCCACAGCATTCTCAACATCCTTTTTTCCATACAACAAAGAGTCTTTAAAAGACTTCATAGTGGTATCTTGGACCATCGCATTTTTGCCACCAACATTAGTGGCTTGGATCTTTTTAGTACTCCTTTTCGAGTGATCAACTTCCTCCATTGACAAAGGTTTCTCCAAAGTTTGAGCAAGAGCCATCTTTTTCCAAACATTAATCAATAACGAAGCAAATCTAATAAATTTGTTTGCTTTTATAAATTGAATTATTAGTGAATTGTATGGATGTGAAATATTATTTTATTTTGCTTGGGAAAATATAATTTCTTATTTTATAAAGGTACAAGTACAGTTCGATTTTAAGTAATTAAATACCCATGAACTGTTTAATAAAAATTTTTACGTAATCAAGTGTTAAAGGAGTTCGGCTAGGTATGTATTAGGTTTCAGGTTCAAATAGTAAATTCTAAAGTTATCCAAGTAGTTGTAGGATTTGTGTACTCTACTTGTTAATAGGGTTCAAGGTCAGGTGCCTTAAAATTACTAGATACCTTACTTGTTGCCATCCTTAATCTCATTGCATCGAAATAACAATTATGAACCAAATTACCAACCAATATCATTGTACGCAAAATTGTCTCTTCGTATTCTTGAATAATTATTGACGGGTTTACAGATAAAATTGAAAGCATTAGCAATGAAATTATAATTTTTGGTAATGAAAATTGGAGTCATTATTGACAAAACCCATAATACTGATAAAATCTATTGGTATTGCTGACATAACCAAAAGCCAATTTCAATGGAATCAATTCCATTTACTGACAATATTTTATAGTTTTAAAAATGGATGCCTTTTGATTTTCACACGTTGATTCCATTGATATTCTGTCAATCTTACATTTACAATCTGTTGCAAATATACCGATGGATTTATAGATAAATTTTTCTATCTTACCAATGAAATTTGCCACGAAATATTCTATTGGTAAATTTTCAATGAAAAATTCTCATTACCTACGGAATGATATTACTAACAATTGTTTTCTCGATCAATGTTTTGATGGTCTAAAATTAGTTGTTAAAGACCAATTTCGAAGAAATTTTAAGCTTTTCTGTTAGAATATTCCATCGAAAAAACTCTATTTTTCAGTAGCGGGTGTTTTATCGATACAATGCTTGTCTCAGAAGCCCAATTTCTCTCTTCATTTGTTTGACTAACTTCTTGATTTTTAAGTGCATTCAAGTGCCCCTAGTTTACAGCATAAGCATGTTATTTATAAGCAATTCTAACACTAATATGTTTAGCAAAACTTTTATGCTAATTGTATAATTGCCTTAATTTATTGAGTTCCTTCAATTAAATCCCTGAAATCAAAACTTCTTTACAATTAAGTCCAACTTAATTCCCCTTTTTACATTTTTACATTGTCATCTTTAATGTGTGCAACTGATTAGGTTATTAACATATTGCTAAAAAAATATAAACTATAATTGAAAGCCAATTAGGATGAGACGAATCAAAAACATTTGCATTCATCATTAATTTCCAATTTGATTAGTTCATATTTATGAATCATGATTGGCATCTAGTAACTTGTCATCACCATCCAAAATGTTAAGAAAAGTAAAAGAGTTTGACTTCGCCCTTCAATGCACAGTCCTAAAATATAATTCAATCCTTCATCATTTAAAATCCTTATATCACATAAGGCATAGTATTGTCTTTGCCCTACATATGTCTTTTATCATTTTAGTTCATATAGTTTATTCTTAACTCTTTAATGAATTTGACATAATTCTTTTTCAAATTATTCTACCTTGATCAAGGATTTTATTCAATTAAGACATACCAAGAAAATGAGATATCTCCTTTAACACCACTTAAGGTGATGTATCTTTTATTGTTCATTCATTTATCATCATATGCTTCGTGCTATACCTAATACCTACTCCATCATAAATCTTTGGTTAGGACTACCTAAGACATTTCCAAAGTATAGCAATTCCCACACAACATAGCTTGATGATCTTAAGTCTAAAGATCACTTACGCAATTGATACATAAGAATATTACCATAAACACTTTGGTGAAATACAAAATGAAAGTTTCATGACGGGTCATGTTCAATAAATTTATTCTACTAACCAGCATTCACATATTAGTTTAAACTATTTTCATATTTCAATGTATGTGCACTTAAACGTTTAGTTCATTGGTTAATGCATAATCCCCCTGTCTAAAGTGCAGGATTTGAATCCCCCTTCCTTTAATTATTAAAAACAGAAAATCAGTGAAACTGAATGCTTATTTTGTAATAAAGAGACATAAAATTTGTTAGTCTTTCAATTTTTATTAATGTCTTGTTTTGATAAAGCATTAACTAAGAATTGTTTAAAAACGAAACTTTATCATTATAAGTTAACATCAATTTATAATTACGTGACCTTAACAGATAAAATAGAGTTTTATTAGGCTAAATGTATAAATCAACATTAATTTATCATTACAAGTAAGTTGGTTGGCTTTCTAGCACATACATCAACACTATTTCTATAAATACCCCAAAATCAACTCAATTATATGGAATCGGAAGAGAAATTCTCCCAATTGCAAAGAAATTTAGTAAAGTTCATTTTGAATGAAATTGAGATCCAATAGTGAGATTATGAAATGCTATAAATTACATTTTTCTTATATTTTTAAAACTTATTTCTTTCCAAAAAGACTTTTAAATAAACATCTAAAAAACTAATTTCCAAGTCAGAAAGTATGATCTTTTTTTCCCAATTTTACACCTATTTTGTGAAACTCCATTTAACTTTATATAGATTTTGTGCGAGGTCGATTTTATTTGAAATTTGATTCTTAGGTTTAAATATGTAACAAAATTAGGAAACTTTCCTTAAATTGATTTTCTTTTAGATTTTTTTTTCAAATTTAATTATTTTTTATTATTAAAAATATTTTAAAATACTTATTAAGGTTTAATAATTTTGATAATTGAGAAAAAATTTTTGGTCCAAATGTCCTAAAAGATGTCTAATATAAACCTTTTTATGTTATAGAAGATTGAGAAAGAGCACTACTGTGGAGTAACCACCTTTAGAGAGAAAACATTTGAGTAAAATATTACATCCTTAATAGCTACCACCAAACAATCATTATAGCTATCGGAAACACAAAACACCTTCAGACTTTAAAAAGCAAAGCAAACATAATTATAATTTAAATAATACATGTGTAATTATTTTTTTTATTAAATAGAAACACATGGCCAATCGATTTATATATTTTTTAAATAAAAAAATGCATCTTCCGACGTAATTGGGGAGGAATTTAGTCAAAATACTTATTAAGTCTTTGTATTCATATATTTTGTTTAATTTAATCCCTATACTCAAAATCGAAATAATTTAATCTTTTAATTTTGAGAATTGTTTTATGTTTTTATTTTGTTTAAGATTTCAGATTATATTTTTTAAATTGAAATTTTTTGGATTAAAGATTACATTTATGATTAATAAAGTTAAACATAATTGTAAATATTTGTACCATTTTTTTTAATTTATAAATTTTTTATGGATTCAAATTAATAATTTAAATTTAAATTTTATAGAATTTGATTGTGATATTTAAATTTAAATAAAATTGTTTTACAAAAAACTTTGAATTAGTTTAAATAAAAACTAAATTGGATATGAGTTGAATAATTCTGATAAAATAAGTATTTGTAAATTGTGAAAGTTGTATCTAAATCAACTTATTTTACTAGTTTGAGTTTTGAGTTCAGCTCAAATTAAAAATTAAGTCAAATAAATTTTAAATTTTTATACTATTATAAATTGAAGAAAAAAAGAATTTATTTAGTTTTTTTATATTAATTTATTTCAACATAATGCCAGTTATTTATATAAATTTGACTTTAGATATAAATTTTGTTTCTAAAATTATTTTATAGAAGAAGAATTCAAACTTAATTTTTGTAAAAAATATAAATTAATGTACATATTCTAAAATCAAATAATCAAGTAAAAAAATATTTATATAAATTTTTTAAAACTATAAATCTTTTACACTTAAATATTTAATTTATTAATAAATATATCTTCTTTAAAAAAAAATAAATATACCTATCATCTGCTTAAATTTTTATATTTTTTAAATATTTTTTTAAATTTAGTTTCTCACCATCTCAAATTTATTCAATTTAATCCATCTATTATATTTTTTTTTCAATTTCATTTCTATTACATGATAGAATTTTTTTAAAAAAAATTTTCTCACACGTCCACATGTCAGTGTTATGTCAATATGATAGTCAATGTTATGTCAATATGATCATACTATCATATTAGTACCATGTAACACTATTATGTCATTACATAAATACCACATGATCATATCATCATGTAATACCATATCATTAAAATAAAGAACATTCATGCTAATATCAACACTGACATTGTCTATTTTAACGAAAAATTTAGATACTGTTAAAAAAATTAAATTAAAATAATATTTAAAATCAAAAATTAAATAACTTTAAATTTTAATTTAAAAACTAAATTAACTATAATACATGAATACAAGAACTTGATGAGTATTTTAGTCGGAGAAATTTTCTAGTCAAAATAAATAGGTGAAAGTGGGGCTACACGCAGAAATGAGAAATGGAGCAGCAGGGAATTACACGAAAAGCTAAACATGCTACAAATGGGCAAACGGGTTGATCATAAGCTAATCCATTTCAGATCTACCCATACCCACCCATTTGTCACAGCTTCTACACATGCAAAGCATTCTAAGACCATTTAGGGCAGCGATAACATGAATTCTAGGAAATAGAAGACTCGCTCTGAACCAAAACATTAAAGTAACACCATCCAGCGGGTCACAAAAGAGTAAATTGGCAAAAAGAAACCATAGTAATTCTTCCAAAACATATGAAATATCACAACAAAAATCTGTCTAGAAACACTATTTAGCAACTTGGCCTTCTTCTGCTGCAGCTTCAAAGGTCTCACTACCCACAAGTTGTGGTACATCATCATCATCCTCTTCTTGAGTGGCCGTCGCACCATCACCAGCAGTAGGTACTTGCTTCTGGAATTGCTCTGCCAACTTCCTCAAGTTGTCCAAGTTATCTGGCCCTAAAAGTTTTAGACTAAGAGTCAAAAGCTGATATCCATTTGCAATGTCGATACAATCACAAAAAAAAAAAGGAAGACAATTCTAAATGGATCTAGAGTACATACCCAATTGGTTGATAATTCCCGGAAGAATATCCTGCAATTCTGCAATCGGGGAAACAACACGTCAAAATATCAGGCATAACAAAGCCAAAAACCTAGAAAAAGCTTATAATGGATGAGGAAAAACCCTAGTCTTTGATGCCATTGGGGTTAGTAATAACAAAATTTCATAAAGAGTAAACAGCAATGAGAGGTATACTCTTTGTCTGAGGGGAACCACTAACAACCCAGGTGTTGGCACCAATAGAAGCTTGAACTGAAATAAAGAACATCATGCATTAGTTTGTCATACAAAACATTTGAATAGATTACATGTTCCACATCTATTAAGCAATATCTACCTTTTGGGTTAATAAACTGGATAACAACTTCATCCTTGAATATATTGACTTCTTCAATTGCAGGAATAGCATTCACTCCTATTCTCTTGAGGGTGCTCTGTAACCTTTTGTCATCAGTGGTAGTTGTCTTGTGGACAGCCTTCTTCTTTCTGTTAGCATAGGTTAAAATAACAAGGTAATGATTAAGATGCAAACTATACAGAGCCATCAAATTCCAAACACCATCCAGATGACCCAATTATGAATAAAGAAGAGATACAGATAAAATTTCGACTTGACATGCTAGCTAATCAAAAAACATCACACAGCAGGCAAAAATATGATTCAAACATCTCTCCTAAATATCTGAACACCACTTATCTCCACATATTTGGAGACAATCAGCCATAAAATTTCATTTAGCTAGCCTATCTCAGGAATTTCCAGAATCCTAACCATGAATATACCTTCTCATGCTACCCTTTCCACCAGTGCGGACAGCACCAGCCATCTTCATGAGCTTCTCGACATTCATCTGCACAAAGGAGTAAAACAATCAGGTCATGAAACAAGAAAATTACATCAAACGAGGCCAAAGACACTCACAATCAAACACAGAAAGACTTAAAAGTTATGGGCTCATCGAAAGTAACAAGATAAAAACCAATAAATAAAACACAATACAAATGAAGCATAAGAAACAACTCATCCAGCAAGAAAACCTCTGAAAACAGCAAAATTATAAAATTCCGATACAGCAAACTATCAATCATGCACAAAAAAAGATACGATAGGCACGGAAGGCTCAGAAACCATCACATAACCATAAACAACAAAATAACAAAGAGAGAAACCCCCACAAAAAAAAAAGGCAAAGGCTTTCCAGTCACTACTTATTCCTTTCTGAAGCCCTTCATTGCAATATAAAGGAAGGGGAAAACCAAGGGAAAAAACAGGAAAGAACAGAAAAAAAGGGAAAAATAAAAACTGAGAGCACAAAAATTATAATGATAATCATATGATCCTAATATTGCCCGAAAGGAGGACGGAGGATGACATTCAAGGCGGTCAAAACTTCAACACAATATATAAGCTAAATCAAATACTAAGCAGAATTTAAGTGAGCATCTTGTGAACATAAGGCATAAGCGAAGCTCGAAAGCTAAAGAAAGATAAATTCAGGGTTTTCAAGAAATGCCCGTAAACATGAAAAGCATCATCAAGTAGTCGGCTAAGCTTCAAAGCTTGTGAAATGCATGTTCCATACCACAAAGATAACAAAATGAGCCAAAGTGAACTGAAAATCAGACTCAGAAAATACATTTCCCCAAAATATCTAACAGATACATTTCACATAAAATTCCAACAAATATTCATCCAAAAAACATAAATAAACAACCCAAAACCAAAATAATCCACGCTACCAGATCTAAAGACAGAGGGGCAGAGTAGAACACAATATCCCCAGAAAAAGAAGCAGCAGGGTTATGCAAACCTAAGTTCGAGAAGGAAATAAAACTGACAGAAACGGAAGAAAGTAAAAGAAAGTGCCAAATAGTCGTCAAAGAAACAGGGAATTAAGTATTGAACCTTTATAAGTATTGAGAATAGATGCCGCGACTGCAAGGATGAAAATGAGGGATGGAAGACGTTTCCTAGAACCCAGAGAGCCAGCCCCAGTCTCTCTACCTTAGGGTTTTTATGTCCACCCCTGCGTTTTAAGGATTTAGATCCGACGGTTGAAGTGCAAAATGACGAAATTGAATCCAAAGGCTATAACACTTCCACGTCTATGTTTGTCATCGCTACAACACGCATGCCATTACTTGCCACTTTGGTTGCTTTTCAGTCCTTCCGTCTATGACCCGTTAGGGCTTAGACTTTCAATATTCAATAAAGTCATTGGGGTTTACATTTCACCATCTTGCAATGCACCTTCAATTTTGATATAATAAAAATAAATAATTAAATTATTAGATTACATAAAAAGATAATTTTGTAAAAAAAAATTACACCAAATAAAATATTATTTACTATTCATTAATTTGATTTATCATGCATTAAGGATAAAATTTATAAAATCGATTATAATTCTAAAGTTAGAAGTTGTGTTAATTATTTTTTTAATAGGATGATTTGTTCCATAAATCTTTTTATTTTTTTAAAAGAAATGGAGGTAGATGCGACTGAAGGTGCGCTACTCAAGATGGACACTTTTTCACTTCTGGATGATCTGTCCAAAAAAAGTTCGTTTACGTAGTGAGAGTTTGGAGAATCTGTCAAATGGCGATATAGTTGTGGTCCATAACAATCTTTCTTTCAAGGATGCATTGATGAATTCTGAAGGAAAGGATTTGTTTTCAAATAATGATATGGATACAGATGAAAATGAAATTGATGATAAGGAATCCTTGTTTGATATTGATGCATACAATACTATATCAAAAGGAGACGAGACGAAGGATTTTAAGTTTGAAACGATTGATGGCATTCCATTGATCAAAATTTCAGAAAAAAAGCATGAGGAACTAGCAAAATGTTGAAGGAGATATGTTATTGTGCGTTTATTGGGGAGATCTATCTCAGTCAGGTTATTAAGTGAAAAGATTGAGTTTTTATGGGCTCTTACAGGGAATATTCGATCGTTGATTTAGATGAGGACAGTTTTTTTATTAAATTTACAGAGGAACATTATTATCTAAAAGTCTTCCTAGAGGCTCCTTGGAGGGTGCAAGGTCATTATCTCATGGTAAACCCTTGGACTCCTCGTATATGTCAAGGGTTCTCAGAATCTATCTATGGTAAAGACGTGGGTAAGGCTTCCTGGTATGCCTCTCTATTTATATCATAATTCAGTTTTAAGAAGAATTGTTTTTCTTTTGGGTAAGCTTTTGAAAATTGACTATGATACCGATTTAGAAAAATGTAGCAAATTTGCTCGTATAGTAGTTGAGTTAGATCTTTCGAAGCAATTGATGCCTAAATTGCTACTTAATGGGAAGATGCAGACCATTAAGTACGAGGGCCATCCCAAAGTGTGTTTTTTGTGTGGTTTGTATGGTCGTTTGAAAGAAAAGTGTTGTGGTACTGATTTGTAGACTGAAGATCTTAATGTTGAAAAAGAAACACCTAATAGGTCTCAAGCAAGTGATGAGCCTTTTGGTCCATGAATTTTAGTAACCAAACATAAGCTTAAGTGTCATGATCCAACCTTGTATCGGGCTATGATAGGGTAGAGTTGTTTAAGAGATTGAGTTTTTTGTACTTGTAAAAGAAATGTCCCTCTTTCAAACATTGTAATGGCTCGTAATGATATCTTTAAAAATACTTATTAAGTCTTTATGGAGAAAGAGCTTTTAGGAAAGGACTGTTCTCATTTTAAGCATTGCAATGCCTATTGGTAAAATATGTATAAAATCTCGTAAACTTTTTATAAGTGGGTGAGCAGTCGATTGATTGTGGAGCTGTCTTACTAGTAAAAGTATGTTTGTAGCGAATCATTTAGTGTTGCCCCTATGGCTCGACGATAGCATTTCTTGGTCCCTTTGTAATTCTTTTCATATTAATAAAACATTTTTCCTTTTTATGGCTTAGTGATTGCAAATATGGCATTCAGTATGTCCTCTAATTTTGATGTGGATTCTCTTAGTCTGATTTGTTGCTATTATTGATGTTGGATAAACTATAACCAAGTATCTGCTAACTTGTGTAAAAATGTCCACTCAAGTGTCGCACGGACTATCGCATACTTAGGCGAAAGAGTGTTGTTCGTGACACTAAGAGTGGTTTGGTCAAACAAAACTCCACCATGAATTCAAGGTCCACCAAGCAGCAACCTAATGGTTCAAGGTTTTCAATATTGGAAGGTTTGGCTATTAACAAGACCCTTGTAACAAAGTCTATAAGAATGAGCCAACCTTTTGCTAAGGATGCTTGTAGGGAAACTAATCATGAAGCCTTTGTGAACAAAAACTTTTAAAAAATACTGGTATTGCAGACAAGTTGTGATCATTCTCCTACTTCATTTAATGCTGCTGAATGGCCAACTTGGTCACTTAAAAAGAATGGTAAAGAGGTTATGTCAGAGATGGATTGTGAGGCGGAGTATGCTGATGTAGCAATAGAAAAGTTTGAAACAAGTGAATAAGCTATTGGTGATAAAAATGATGTTGTTTTAGGGTTCATACAAAAAAAGCATGAGAAGAAGCCTTGACCACAACTTACTTCTCTTGACGTAGAGAAACATTCAGTGGTTTGATTAGATAATCATGCCATGGATTTCAAAGTCCCTACCGTTAAAAAGAAAAACAAAGTCTCTTCTCCATCCATGGAGGTGAGACATAGAGGTATTATGCTACATGATAAGGAGGGAAAACCTCTTAATAAGTAAGGAGTGACTCGAATTCAAAAAACCTCCCTCAAAAAGAAGACACGATTGAAAAATAAACATTTTTAAGGGTTAGGGTGACATGGAGTCAAACATTGTGGAAGATTTGAACAAAGTTTCAAAACATGAAAGTGGTAGTCCCTCTCAGAAATTGAAGTCTCCGAGTAAGCAACAAATGGTTCAGGTTAATTTCACTTTGGTTGATGGACAACAGGTGAACTTGTAAGTAACCCTTGGCAATCTCGTTCTTTCTTACTTTCTATTAATGTTAGTGAATTTTCTAATGTGGAATTGTCAAGATGCAGGCAGTACCAACTTTTTAAGAATTGTGAAAGATTACATAAAGCAGTATGAGATTTCTAATATGATTATTATTGAACCTCGAGTTAGTGGCATGCCAGCAGATAGGATAATTTGTTTAATTAATTTTGATAGATCACACCATATTGAGGCTATGGGTTTTTCTGGTGGAACATGGTATATATTTCAAATCTTAGTTCTGAGAAATCATAGCTAATGTTTTCATTTGATTGTTGACTATCAATCTACAGATCCATGGTATGTTTCAGCAGTATATGAAAATCCCAACCTAACAAGTTGAAAAGAATTATGGAAAGAACTACATTATTTTGCAAACACTATCAATGGACCTTATATGATTATTAGTGATTTCAATGTTTTCATGTTTTCGCATGAGAAACTTAGAGGTTTAATAAGGGGTAGTTGACCATGGTCTTTGTTCCAATCCTCTATAAATGACCTTAGACTACTTGATATGGGCTTTCAAGGACCGAGATATACATGCAGGAAAGGACTTATGGCTAAAAGAATTGATAAGGCTATATGTTTTTCTAATTAGAGGCTACGATTTCATGAAGCTTCTATACGACATCTCACTTGTGTTAGTTCTAATCATTTTCCTATCTTGATTAGAACAAGTGATAGATAGGTTGTTTCACATGGTATGGGATTTTAGTTTCAAGCTGAATGGCTTTCTCATATGGAATTTCCTAATTTTGTTAAACAATCTTGGGAAAATAATTTACCTATCTATGATGTTTTACAGAACTTTACAATTAAAGTTAAATAGTGGAACAGGGTAATGTTTGGTAACATTTTTTATTAGAAGAAAAAGCTTTTAGCTAAACTTAGTGGCATTGCAAGGGCCCTTAAACTTTGTCTTTCTAGAAATCATTGATTACTTGAATTTAACTAAAAATTAAACTATGAGACAGTGCTGGTACAGGAAAAGATCTTTTGGATGTAGAAATCGAGAGCGAATTGGCTTAAATTATGAGATAGAAATACTAGCTTTTTGCACGTACGTGCAACATGTTGAAGGAGCAAAATGAAAATCCTATGACTCAAAATTGAGGACGATTCTTGGTGTGACAATCAAGAATTACTTTAGAAACATGCAGTTGATTTCTTTGGCAAGTTATATTTAAGAGAATATTATGTTCTCCCACCTTTCCCAATTAGAGGTATGTTCCCTATTCTGGATCAATAAGAATATAGTAATATGCTTAGACTAATGGAAAGTGAAAAGGTACGTAATGCTTTATTTGAGATGAAGCCACTTAAAGCCTTTGGTGTATATAGTTTTTCGACATTGTTCTTTCAGTCTAATTGGAACATTGTTGGAGACAATATAATTAGTTATGTGAAAATTGTATTTTATGGTATGGCAGTGGGTGACGAACTTTGTAAATCAGTTATTACCCTAATTCCTAAGGTAAAGACCCTTGACCTAATTACCTAATTTAGACCTATTAGGTTATTACTGCCTGTGTTAAAAGTTTTGATGAAGGTCAGTACAAACAAATTGAAACTTGTGATGGGTAGTTTGATAAATGAGACACAATCTACTTTTATCATGGCAAACAAATCATAGATAATATTATGATTGCTCAGGAAGTAGTCCACTCTTTCAGTAAAAAGTAGGGTAAAGTGGGGTGGATGATGCTCAAAATTGACCTAGAAAAAGCTTACAATCGCTTACAATGGGAGTTTATTTATGATACTTTGACTGATGCTAACATTCCTAAACCTTTGATCGATATTTTGGTGGGTAGTTGGCGTTATAGCAAGCCTCAAGTTTTATGGAATGGTGAATTATCTAAAGGCTTAATCTTTCTTGTGGTGTATGACAAAGAGATTCACTTTTCCTGTATTTGTTTATTTTGTGCATGAAAAGACTAGCCCATGGAATTATAACAGCTATTTCCAATGGTTCTTGGAAACCTATTAGACTCAATAAGAGATGCCTACCGCTATCACGCTTTTTCTTTGTCGATG